CCTCCAAGTAGTCAGCTGCAGTTGTAGCTTGTTTGTTCTTTAAAACTTTAACAAGTTTTTTAAAACTACAAATTTTCTTCTTGTTCCTAAGGCATTTCCTACGACTAGTAGAAATTTGACGATTTTTGTACATCATTAACTTTATAAAACGGTTCCATGCTTCATCTGAGACAAAGTCTGCTCTTGATACATAACCATGCTGTACTCCATCCGTGAAACAAAATTTCTTGTTTGGATTTGCATTTGAAATATCGTTATTAGACCGCTTCCTGAAAATGTGATACACAACACAATATATTTTTCTTTTCATACAATCCCATGTAAGTAATGTAAGTACAAACTTTTTTAAACTCTGACTACCGACACTACTGTTGCTTGAACTCGCTAATACCGCACTTGTTTCACATGACTGCTCTTGTATTGCACTTATTAATAAACTTTGTGTACAATCAGACACTTTCTCTTTGGTATCACCACCACATTGCTGTTTATTATCATTCTCCAAATTATTTGAAGGTCTGTTCTCATCAGTGCATGAAATCGTGGTCATATAATCGTGGTCCATTATAACAATATTTTGAATGGAATATTTACTATATAACTCTGTTGAATTGGCTTCGCTCCCTGACACAACTTCATTTGAAATATTAGATAATATCCTTCTTGTGCTGGGTTTACTTTCTGTACATTTAGGAACTGCATTTGATAGTAGTCTTCTTATAGTTGTGTAACCATCAGTTTGGTGGTACGAGTGTGGTTCAAAGTGATCGCTACAAATTCGTGCGTATTTCGGTATTGATGTCACTCCAATAGCCGACATCCATTTTTGCCGTACATCACTTTTTTCAGGAAATCTATATAAAATAAACACTNAATTATAGCACCCGTAACAGATTCGGAATGGGGTACGCCTCTTGTACCTGTATTAAAGAAAAACGGGCAAATCAGAATCTGTGCAGACTATAAGTCGACGGTAAATACGTTCTTGAAAGATGTAAAATATCCGTTACCGCGGATTGAAGAACTTTTTGCAGCACTTAGAGGCGGAAAAGAATTCACTAAACTTGATCTTTCCCAAGCTTACAACCAGTTGGTTTTAGATGAGCAATCTAAGTTAATTTTAGCATGGAGCACCCATAAGGGTATATTCAAAGTTAATAGAATGCCCTTCGGAATTAAGCCTGCTGCTTCCATTTTTCAACAAAAAGTGGAAAAGACATTACAAGGTTGCAAGGGAGCTATGAATTTTATAGATGATATAATTGTAACAGGCAGCACTAGGGAAGAACATATCGAAAATTTAAGAGAAGTGCTTGGTCGGTTGTTGAGAGCAGGACTCAAAGTTAATAAAGAGAAGTGCGAATTTTTTAGTTCCGAAGTTAAGTATTTAGGGCATATAATCAACGCTGAAGGTTTAAAGAAAGATCCCGGTAAAGTACAAGCTATATTAGAAGCACCTGTGCCTGCTAACAAGAAGCAAGTTAGAGCGTTCGCAGGATTAGCAAATTATTATATTCGTTTTGCTCCTAATTTATCTTCTATTTTGCGTCCTATTTATGATTTGTTAAAAGACGACAATGAGTTTAGATGGACTACAAGGTGTAACGAAGCATTTAATTTAGCAAAGAAGGTTTTAGCGTCGGAGCAAGTATTGACGCATTTTTCACCTAAAATACCAATTAAATTGTCGTGTGATGCTTCTGAAAACGGCATAGGAGCAGTTTTATCGCATATTTTTCCGGATAGTAGTGAACGTCCGATAGCTTTCGCATCAAGAGTACTGGTAGATTGTGAAAAGAATTACTCTACGACTGATAGAGAAGCGTTAGCAATTTTCTTCGGAATGAAGAAATTTGAAAGTTATTTAATGGGATTACATTTCACTTTAGAAACAGATCATAAGACCTTACTATCCATTTTTGGAGAAAAGAAAGGTTTTCCAGTGTTTGCGGCTGGTAGATTGCAGCGTTGGACGGTTTATTTGTCAAATTTCGATTACGTCGTCAAATATGTTAAAGGTGAAGAGAACGGAAGGCCCGACTGTTTATCTAGATTACCAGTGGGGGAAAAATATAATTTTAGCGATTCCGGTAATTACTTAAAGTTTATTTATGAGCAAGCAGCTTTGGCTGTGGATGCAGGCAGAATAAAAATTGAAACTAGGCGTAATCCAATTTTAAGTAGAGTTTTCGATCGTATTAGCAAAGGATGGGGAAATAAACTGACAGCTAAAGATGAATATTTGAAATCGTATCATTTGAGGAAAGACGAACTGACATCAGAAGATGGAGTCGTGATGTGGGGCTATCGCGTAATAGTACCCACCAAATTAAGAGTGCGCATTTTAGATGAACTTCACAGTACCCATTTAGGTATTGTTAAGATGAAAAGTTTAGCCAGATCAGTTTGTTGGTGGCCAGGTTTGGATGGCGACATAGAAAAATTTGTTAAAGGTTGCAGAGCATGCAATCTAGCGGCGCCTGATCCCAAAAAGTCGATGTTAAGCCTGTGGCCACAAGCGAGAGAAAACTTCGAGAGAGTGCACATTGATCTCTTTGGTCCTATTCGAGGACAAAATTGTCTTATTCTCATTGATGCATTTAGTAAGTAGATAGAAGTATTTATGTTAAATTTTATTGATAGTAAGCACGTTTTAGATAAGTTAAGAGAAGTCTTCGCTCGTTTCGGTATTCCGAAAGTTATTGTAAGCGATAATGGTAGGCAATTTGTATCGTTTGATTTTGAAAATTTTTGTAAGCGTAATGGTATTGTACATAAGACGTCAGCAGACTTGACTTTTGTTAGGGGATAGGTGGCCCCTAACGGGTCCGGAATCGAGGTACGAACGCGAAATAAACCGGACACTGATTTTCACTGCTAATGCCGTTTATTTAAGAACGAATGAAGGTCCCTGGACACGTCGGACGTCGGGCCTGGAGTCCGGAATAACCGGGGAATGTAACGTCCCGTCCGTCGTCGGATTAGGAGGCGCCGTCCGTGTTCGTCCTTGTGTCCTCTGGTTGAACTCCTTAACGTCTTCGACGTTCGGTATTTCTGTAATGTTGCAAATGCGAATTAATGAGTATTTCGTCGCACTTCAAGCTCGTGCGGAAAGAGTTGCCGCTTCTGGGCAGAACTCTGCGCAGTGGACTGTATTCTTTTCTCGATAAGTGCAGCGGCTTTTCCAGCAAGTTCCTTGCCGTGAAACGGAACAGAATCACGCTCAACGTTCGTCTCTCCACACCGCGTAACTGGTGGAAGCTCGTAGCAACGAGCTTCGAGACCTGACCCTATAGGGCGCGATGTAACTTACCGCACCAGGCCGGCCTCGAGGATGACGAACTGCAGCAGTGCGTTTAACGCAACGTGCTGCCCAAGCCGTCAGCCGTTTCTAATTCAAACTTAGAGGTGGCCTAAGACGGTGGATTCAGTCTACACTTGACCTATGAACCCGAGTTGGACGCAACTCCGAAATGCCCAGTTACTGG